GTCAACGTGCTTTAAATTTCTTTTAAATAATGGTTATTTCTGTTTTTTTCTTCTTCTAATTTTAAAGCAGAAAAGACGTAATTGAAGAAAAAGATTAATGACAGAATTTTCATGCAAAAATGATTTGCACATTCCTTTGCACATGCAATTGTTGCTGGCACTGCACTTTATTTCAAAACTGCATGAGTCCGGCACTTAATTTTAAGTCGAAAAAAGTATTGCTTTTATCTAAATGGTATTTTTGGAATGTATAAAAAAGATTTACTCTCAATATTTTTATCAAAACCCATATTTAAACAGTTTATTTTAACAGTGAAAAATTTGTGTTTTCTTCTCAATGTGATAACCTTCTCCCCTCAGCAAAAGTCGTCTTTAGAAAAGTAAATTATACAAAAAAATGAATCTAGATCGAAAAATAACAACCGAAAATGTTTAGAAATATCTTAAATCCCTTTTTCTTTTACGCAAGAATTACAAGACAGAAAAGAGACAATTCTATTCATCAGAACAACAATTACTAACTTTAAAAAGCAAAACGTAAAAAATACCAGTGAGATGATTCTATCCAAATACAATAGTCATGAAAAACAACATTTTTCTTTATATTAAAAAATGCACAGTACCCGCAAAAACTAAGAAGTAAAGTAAATAAAACCATAAAATCGATTTCTTATTTTTCTATCCTCATCGTAGGTGTGTCCAGGTGGAAGAAAGGTCTGAACTAAATTTAAAAATCCGTAAACTTAAATATTACTAAAATATATCAGGTATATGGACAGACAGGGGCGTGTACAGGATTTCATGTAAGACGGGGGGATTTGGTTTAAAGTGGGGTTTAAAGCGGTAGCATGGGGAAAATTCAAAGTCAATAGGGGGGTCAAAGCCTACTGAACCACCCCCCCTTGGAAAACCTCTGTGTATATAAATATATTTAAAGCAGTTAAATCTTCTAAGCTTGGTTGCTTCCCGCTGCATGGTTCCTTTTTCCAGAAGTTAACCGTCAATTTCCATTTAACCACCTCTCTCCTCCGACCCCTCCCCCACATTTAAGTCCCCTCCTTAGTCCCCACCCATCGGCCCCATTTAAACCACCTATCCAGTATACAATTACAGTCCTGTCTCAACTGCAGTAGGAATTTTATATATATATATTTTTTTTATAGAAAACAATGTGAGAAATCTTTACTGCAAAACCATTATGTCATTCCTTATCTTTTTTCTGTTTTAATGGAAGGAGGGGGAGGGGTAGGTGCTTAAACACTTCAGAAGTAATTTTAAGTAACTCTCCTTTTAAAGAGCACCAGGGCATGTCTGATTCAAATCCAAAAATGAGCAAATTCCTATGTTAAAAAATTGATATCTGTGTCGTTCTTGATCATTATACAAAGTTGTAAGAGTAAACTTTTTCCCATTCCGGAATATTTTTCCCTTCATATTTAAATTTTCATTTTTCATTTATTATTGACAACATTGTATATGATTAGAGCTTAAATTTGGTTTTTTTTAACTTGATTAATAAATTGAATTCGTGCCGTGGTCAAATGTGAGCTTAAAACCCAGGGGCGGATACAGAGGGGTGGCGGGGGGACATTCGCCACCCCCTGACAGATTCAGGGATTTCGAGGCAAAAAATGTTCCCAATTTTATAAATCGTATGTGTTTTTCAATTTCAAGCTTTTTTTATTTAATGGAAATCTTGACTTTCTTTTCTTCAGTTTAATTTAAAAATCAACGACAACAAGTAAATGTTATTGTTAACGATAAATTTAGATTGAATAAATATCCAAAGTAAACCTTTCAGTTTTCCTTTCTTTAGAGGGGGCTCAACTCCGATAGTCCCACCCCCTTATACGCCCCTGGCAGGGTTCCCTGTATCAAGGTACATCCTCAGCACTGGGTAATATACAGATGATGAGTCATTGTCGAAGTGGGGGGGGAAGGGGGTTTCCACAGCGTTATATAACAGAATTGTTGTAATTAACCGACTTTTATCTTTGCACTTGATCTCAGTAAATCGAAATTCAAAGTTTTTAGATATTTGAAAAAAATCATTTCATCTTAAGCTTTGTAAAGTGTAAAATTTAATGATTTTTTAATTGTTTGGTGGATTATACTTTATAAGAAATCTTGATTAAATAGGTATTGTACATTAAATATGTTTTAAAATGAAACAAACATATTTAAATAATTTAACTATACGTTTGTCACTTTTGTGTATAACATCTATAAGTTTGGATATCTTTTACCTAAACTTTATATAAAGAATGGCATGGGTTGAAAAATGAAATCAAAATAAATTGAACAAATCTCTAAAATCATTTTAAGAACAACAGAATTTTTTTTTAAAAGAATATTACGGCTATAGAGCAGCACGCACTTAAGTTACAGTCCTGATCAGAAATACGTAATTTAAATTAATCAGACGACTTTACAATCTACAAAAATGATTGATGAAATGATAATCACAAAATAACACTACTCCTGTGTATTTCTAAAATGTGGTTTGCCCTTTTGGAATATTTAAAATTGCCAAAAATATATATCTTTGTTGACTTGAAAAGTCACTATAATAAAATAAAGAGATCTAAAATGGATATTTCTAACATTTATTTAAAACGAAAGTGTTTTGAAATATTTGCATTTAAGGCGGAGTTAAAATTGGTTGATTTAGAAATTAACAAAGGAATTATGGATGGATATTTGATGGTACTTCATGGGAGTGTTGTAGAGCTTCATGTTGGTGGAGCAGATCAACAGGAACTGGGGCAACAGGGCTTATCCAACCTAGTAGGCAGAGATCGCGGCTTGTCATGCTGGCTATGAGCGATTATGTTGTCTCTGGAAGTGGAGTGCATGATAAACTGGGAACCCTCGGGTAAGAGCGTCTGCTGCTATCTGAGTATCTGCGTCATCATCATAAAGGAGTCAAGAGGCTCCCTGTGTCGGAGCTGTTACTAGTTCAACTGTCCTAACATGACTGAATACCGGGAGGGAGCTGGGATGAGCGGAGATTCGACATGTGGGCACTACATGAGGAGGAAATGGATTTGAGTACACATACATCTAGAGAAAATGCTGGGGCATTTGAGTCGAAAAAATCGTCTTCCTTATATTTCGAATTAATTTTAACAATCTTATATATATCTTATTTATCTTATATATATCTTATATATATATGTATAAGATATATATATATATATAAGATATATATATATATATATATAAGAAAATATCGTGGTAATTCCTATATTTGTAAGCCTTAAAATACCTAGATATAAAACGTTGTACATGTCGGTAAATCTAAATGCGCTTATCATTAACTACGCAAAAATTGCAATGCGATTTACCTAACCTAGCGTCATTCGTAAATATGTCAAACCTGTATTGCTTACCTACGCTTATATATATCTGTTCAAATCTTGTAAATATATATACATTAACTTATAACCTGTAACATAGATTTCTAAATACACGTCAGTTGAAATAAACTCCACTTAGATTACAGTGAGAGAAGTAGTCATTCCTCATTTAACGAACGAGTTGATGAGATTGCGTCCATGTTTGACATTGATAGCTCAAGAGATCGTGCGGCGTGCCCGTGTTTGGCATTGATAGTTTACTAGGGATTAAGTTGTACCTGGATTGATACAGGCTTGAGAGACTCTTGGAGTAGTGCATTTACTAAATGTGAAGTCGCCTGATTAACTCTCAATTAATTCTGGGTCTTTTTAATTATGACTCTATAAAAAGTGATTGAAAACAAATCTACTCATTTTAATTTTTCTTTTTACACAACAAAATTTAGTGACAAAAAAAAATTGAAAATAATACCATTTTAAATGGGGAAATGATACCATTTTAGATAGGGGAAATAATACCATTTTAGATGGGGGAAATAATGCCATCTTAGATGGGGAAATAATACCATTTTAGATGGAGAAATAATAGCATTTTAGATGGGAGAAATACTACTATTTTAAATGGGGGAAATAATACCATTTTAGATGGGGAAATAATATCATTTTAGATGGGAGAAATAATACCATTTTAGATGGGGAAATAATACCATTTTAGGTGGGGAAATAATACTATTTTAGACGGGGGAAATAATAACATTTTAGATGGGAAAATAATACCATTTTAGATGCGGAAATAACTCCATTTTAGATGGGGAAATAATACCATTTTACCAGGTGGAAATAATACCATTTTAGATGGGAAAATAATACCACTTTAGATGGGGAAATAATACTATTTTAAATGGGGAAATAATACCATTTTAGATGGGAAATAGTACCATTTTACCAGGTGGAAATAATACCATGTTAGATGGGGGAAATAATACCATTTTAGATGGAGAAATAATACCATTTTAGATGGGGAAATAATACCATTTCAGCAGGTGGAAATAATACCGTTTTAGATGGGGGAAATAATACAATTTTAGATGGGGGAAATAATACCATTCTATATGGGGAAATAATGCCATTTTAGATGGGGAAATTATACCATTTTAGATGGGGGAAATAACACGTGTATGGGGGAAATATTACAATTTTAGACGGGGGAAATAATACCATTCTATATATGGGGGAAAATATTTAAAAGTTGACATTTTAAAATTTTTCAGTCTAGGGAGGACATTTTTCTACCGAAAGGCTAGGCATATGTTTATTTAAGTTCGAATGAACAAGGATTTATCAATTCCTTTAATGAAAGCTATAGCTTAAAATGTCGTCGTTGCCAACCAACATTTAAATTTTCCCGCGCTAATATTGGAGCCTCAGGGTTGTGACGTCACGCAACATTAGTATCATTGAGAAATGATGGCGGCTGCTCGCAGTTAACAACTTAACAAACAAAGTCGACAAGAGAAGAAACGCGGCAAACGCACGCGCCTTTTACCCTCTCGCGGCATAGGAGCAGATTTTTCAAATAATAAACAATCACGAAATCAAACCTTGTCATGATTTAATGATATTGTTTGAAAAACGTTATCCAAAATGCTTTTAAAAAGTTTGTCATCTATGTGTTTAACAATTTCAGCTGTTGCCATGTTTTACTGTTAATTTTATGCCGTGGCATTTCAGACAAATTAGCGATAGAATTTAAATGTCTGAGAAGAGAATATCTCCGCCGGATTCGCCGTTTCACGGCTTTACGGCGGATGAGGTTACAACACCTGGAAATAGTAAGGTGAGAATTCCCTTAATCTGCCGTAGCAGGCCAAGGGACGATTTATTTAGAATTCACTTTTCGTCGACTAAAAGTTACTATAATCAATGTTTTCTAGCTTTTAGTAAACAAATTTTGGATTCAGTCTTAGCAAACGATTTTTAGGACCCCCCGTCCCCTTTATTTTATTTGCACGTGATCATAACTATATTCAACATGAAAATGTGCATTATAAATTTCTGGGCCGAGCGCTTCGGCCTGGACATTTCAGGGGGCTGAGCGCTGCGGATAGGAGAGGCTAGGATGCCGAGCGCTACGGCTAGGGGGCTGAGCGCCGTGGCTAGGACATGGAAGGGAGCCGGCGCTGTGGGAATTTTCCAAACTATGCCAATGTGTTGCATATAAATTATGGACTTAATGATAGGGGGTGGGGGTAGAAGGGGGTCAACAAATTATATATTAGGATATTACCCAAATTTTGTTACCTTCTTTTAATACTGTTCCATTTCATATTTTTTACTGTATAATTGTTTAAATTGGCAATATGTATTATATACATATATATATATATTGCATGGCATTGCAGTGATATTGCAGGCGTATAAAAAATTTATGCTAATGATAGTTCATTCTAGGCCGAGCAGAGCAGTCACCCTTCATACTTAGATTCACCCCCAGACTCACCTTTTCATGGATTCAACAGTTCCGACATACCGCGACCTATCTTTATCAAGACGGAGGTCGTCGACGAGGACGAAAATGATGTTGAGGTGGTCGAGGTGGTTAGGCTGGAAGAGATGAAGGTGATCAAGGAGGAGAGGATGGATGTGGAGAATGACGACGATGAAGAAATGTTTCACGGATTTTCTACAAGTGAAATTCCCCTCCCTATCATTATAAAGGTTAATTAAGAAAATCTTAAATTTTGGTATCTTATTCTTTTCTGTTTTTAGTTTACACCTTTTTTAATACTTTTTAAGAACTTTAATTTCAGAAAATTACATTTGTTAAATCGTAACATGTGATAATTAAACATTTAGAACTCCTTATGCAGGAAGAGCCCGGTGACCTAGTTGTAGAGAGAGCCCTGAATAATTCCCTTGACCGGGACAGAAAATATGGGGAGGACCCAGAGCAGGATAACATAGAGGTCCAGGACAATGTTGAGGTCCAGGACAACGCTGAGGTTCAGGACAATGTTGAGGTTCAGGACAGCGTTGAGATCCAGGAAGATACGGTGGTACAGGAAAGTATGGTGGTGAATAAGACCATCATAGAAGCCAAGGAAAAGCCCATTTCTCCGGCAACGCGAGGGCAAAAGAAAAAAGTTTCGGAATCTGAGAGTGTATCGAGAAGTCCGATAAAAACAAGGAGTCCTAAAAAAGAAAGTTCAGTCGGATCCAAGTCCCCAACCAAAGTGACTTTTCAACTTCCTGATAAAATGGACTTAAGTGTCAATGTAAAAAAGGACCATCATGTCCCTTCTACCACATCACTATCTCAAAATTCGTTAGCCGGCGTTCAAGTTTCTTCTGAAGCAGTCCCAGTTTTAATAGGAGATGTCCAAATCTCACCGGAGGAGGTTCATGTTTCCTCTGTCGGAGGAGTCCAAGTATTTGAACAGGAAGTCCACGTGTCTATCCCTGAGTCCCAAGTCCAGGAGACGAGTATACTTCCTGACCAGCTGAGTCTGGCATACGAGGAGTGTATTGAGGAGACGATCACAACCTCCCAGGAGTCTCACATTGAATCCTCTGGCATAGGACGAACCAATATCATCGTGAGAAATGAGACGGGGTTTTCTGAGGAGAAGATGTTGAAGAATGTTCTAGTTCTTCAGGGTGTAGGGGAAGGGGAGGTGGATGAGGCGGGGATGCAGACCTCAACTATTCATATACAGGTCAGAAACTAGATGGTTTATCAAAAAAAATATTAGACATATTTATTATATAAATAGTTGAACAGATCATAGACAGATAGAAAGTTAGACGGATTGATTGATTGATTGACGGGCAGACGGTAGACAGTTTGACAGGAAGACAAATCGAGACAAACATAGATCGACAGATCGACAAATAAATAGAATGACAGATAGACATATATAGTTAATCATACAGACAACACATGAATAAATGAATGACTGGTTCAGGAAGAGGAGGAGGATGAGGATGGTGAACCCATCCTTGTGATGGTAGATTCGGAGAACCAGAACTCTAATCTTCACAGCGGGAACCTTGTCTTCACGAACCAACAGGTGTGTGCGCCCATCGCCCATCCGGGTGGGGGGGGGGGATGTTTTAAGTTGGCATATTTTCTTCTTATTTTTTCTCAAAAATGCGGCACACAAAATTTCTTAAATGAATGGGTCTCAGTTCTCTAAATAATAAAAAAATCGTTTTTTAAAAAACATAATTGTTCGCATTGAATATGCTTAAAATGTTCAGGTTGTAACAAGAAGATCTCCAATGAAAGAAAGCAAACGGGAAGATTTTGAACGAATCACAATTATTCAAACTGGTAATATACACATCCTTATATATTCTCATCCATATCCATTCTCATCCTTATCCATTCTCATCCTTATCGATTTTAATCCTTTTCCATTCTCATCCTTATCCATTCTCATCTTTTACCATTCTCATCCTTATCGATTCTTATCCTTATCCATTCTCATCCTAAAACTACTTGTCTCAATCACGTTATTAATCATCTTCATTCATCCTCATTCATGTTTTTCCTTATCTTACTTCATCGATTCTCATTATTAAAGGACTGTAGACGTAATTTCAAATGACAATTGATTTGATGAGTTGTATGGACGGTTCACAACGGTATTCTGTGTTATAAGATAAGTTTTCCTATTTTTCTCGCAGCAAAAATGCGCTGCGTAGAGAAACCACAACTGAAAATTTAATCTAAAGAGTAAATCATGTAATTTTATCTTTGTTCAGACAAAGCTTTAAAGGGCATATTTGTGAATCGGACTTCCTATTCTAAAATAAGGAGACTACTACCTACTCCTCCTTACCTTGTTTCATACATTCCGTTTCTTTTCTATTCGCATCCCCATACTCATTCTTATCAATATTACATAGTCATCCTTTCTCTTCCTAAATCATCCTTATTCATCCTAAATCATCCTTATTCATCCTAAATCATCCTTATTTGTCCTAAATCATCCTTATTCATCCTTTCTAGTCCTGAATAATCCTTTTTAGTCTTGAGTCACCCTTTCTCGTCATAAATGATCCTTACTTGTATTAATCCATCAATTTCGTTTTCAACTTAATCATAATTTCCTTCTCCTTTATAGATATTTTTCCTCATTCATTAAAAAAATGTATTATCAATACAATCCATAGACCTTTCTTATCTTATCAAATTCATCCTCAATCCTCATTCTCATTCTTACTGATCCATACTCAATCCTCAATCCTCAATCCTCATTCTCATTCTCACCTATCAATACTCGATCCTCAATCCTCATTCTCACTCTCAACGATTCATTCTCAATCCTAAATTGCACCGATTCATATTATATCTTCAATCGCCAATTCTTACTCTCACCGATCAATCCTTAATCCTCATTCTCATTCCCACAGATCTATACCCAATCTTCAATTTTCAATCCTCAATCCTCATTCTCCTCCTTACTGATCCATACTTAATCCTCATTCTCATTCTCACCTTTTTATAATCATTCCCAATTCTTCAATCCTCATATGCACCGATATTCCCAATTCTTCAATCCTCATATGCACCGATTCACATTCAATCATCATCCTCATTCTCACATATCCATACTTAATCCTTAATCCTCATTGTCTCCCACACATCCACAATCCTCAATCTAAGATAATTTTAGATAATGACGCGCAGACTGTTAAAGCAATTAACACTGAAGAGATAAATACAACTGACAGGTATTCTTGATTTTTTATCCCCTGAAAAAAAATCTTGTTGATTTGATTTGACTGTATATAAAAATAAGAATTAATGATGATAATTGGATGAAATTATTATAAACTATGAAAATTACGAAAATGGTAATGGTGATAATGATGATAATGATAATAACGCTATGATGATAATGGTGATAATGGTGATGATGAAAATGATGATAATGACGATAATGATGATAATGATGATAATGATTATAATGATGATAATGATGATAATGATGATAATGATAATAATGATGATAATGATGATAATGATGATAATGATGATAATGATGATAATGATGATAATGATGATAATGATGATAATGATAATAATGATGATAATGATGATAATGATGATAATGATGATAATGATGATAATGATGATAATGATGATAATGATGATAATGATGATAATGATGATAATGATGATAATTAAATTTGTATTTTAAGGCTACCGAGAAATATTCAGATCATAGAACAACATGGCATTGGAACAGAGATGCTGTTAGTGGACAAGGTTAGAATTTAGAGTTTTAAGTGACCAAATGATTCGACGGTTAGATGGTTATTGGTTAGTTTTATAGACGATCGATGCATAGGTGGTTAAATGGCTATCATCCAGTCCATCCTCATCCATTCCATCCTCATCTAATCCATCCTAATCCAATTCATCCTCATCCAATCCATCCTTATCCAATCCATCCTCATCCATTCAATCCTCATCGAAGCTATCCACATACATTCCATCCTCATTCAATCCATCCTCATCCAATCCATCCTTATCCAATCCATCCCTATCCAATCCATCCTCATCCAATCCATCCTCATCCGATCCATCCTCATTCAATCCATCTCTCCCAATCTAACCAATGATGATGAAATACTAATTCAGGATTCTGATACTGATTCTGATATGGAGGACAGAGAGTTTACTGTTATAGTTGATGAAGAACCAAGGTAGTGTTATATTTAGGAATTCATGGCGCTTCCATTACCTTGAACTCACGAATTCTTTAGTTTTGGACTCAAAATATATAAAATTAAAACCAGCATATGCAATAAGTAAAATAAAAAATCTTCTAATAAACTTTGATCTTTAATTAACATAAAAGTTATTGGCAATACATTGGCATGCGAGGTCGGGCCGAAAATTGCCTCGAGGCCGGAACTTTAGTAGGCCATAACTCAGCAGTCAACTTGACCATAATTCACAGGAGCCTAACATTTTGGATTTAATGTTTTCTCATTACATGCTGGCTGTGTGCAAAATTTAAAGAAAATCCATGACATTGACTTCCATAGGGTGGCTGACTTGATAAAGATTTTAAAGAATGACCCTTACCTTAAACTCGCGCATTCTTTAGTTTTTATGAATGTTGTTGTGTAGTGATGAAGAGATGGACGGGATGGACGAGGACGAGATGGTCCTGGACCGGATCCCCCTGGCTGGGAAGAACACCTTCGAGGGGGAGACGATCGAGGATTTACTGGCACAGTTCGAGACAGAATCAAAGAGTAGAGCTGTCTCCTGTCCTAACTGCAAGGAATATTGTCCAAAAAAATAATGATAAAAACAACAAAAAACTTAATAACAATTTCGACCAAGCTAAAAATTCAGCTTATCAAAGCAGTAACAGAGAAAGCTTTGGACAGGGATTTTACAACAACAATTCTACCTTTTTTATTCCTGTAAGAGGTTTTTTTGGTGTGCGGTGTTTTTGTTCTTTTTACAATTTGTTCTTTTCATCTTAAATACTTATCGTACAGTTAAAAGCATATATCCGTCATTTTGAATTCACAAAAAAAAACAATACTAGTAATCATTATTGTTTTTTGACAAAAAAATTAACCAGAAATGTTTTGTATCAACACATTTCCTTAATGTCCATGTTTCAAACAGAAGTACACTCTGTGAACTCTGTAATACTCAATGCTGTACTTCTACAAACCTCAGGTACATACTTGGAACTTTTATCTAATGTTGGATCTTTTGTCTTGTTAATCTTGGGATCAAGTATTGCTATTAATATTATGCAGATATAAGGATTAATTTAATAGGGATCAAGCATTGATCCTCAAATTTAAAAGTGGCCATTTGTCGGAAACAAAATAGTTTTGATTTAATATTTAATCAGTTGGTTCAAAATGTTTTGGGATTTTAGCTTTTGTTTTGATGTATTTATTGTGATAAATGATGTACCAACTTTATTTTCAGGAATCACAAGAACCTAGATTGTGATTTATCAAAAAGAAAACGAAATATTGATCTTATTGCCCAGGAAACCGCATTGTTAGGTTAATATTTACTTTTTTATTTATTTAATATTTAAAGGGTCTGTAAACACAATTTCATGTGACCTTCGTTTGAAGTGACATGACTGATTCACAATTAATCTTCCACATTATCGCTCAAATTGAGGTTTCAAGGGTACCGTTGTGAATTGAGCATGTCCTTTTTATGAAAATGAAGGGTAACTTGAAATTACGCTCACAGTCCCTTTTATCAAATTTATTTAGGAGTTAATCAGTTAGCACCCCACTGCTTAAAAATGAAATATTTTTAAAGGTTTCTTGTCGCTAAATGAAATGTGTACAAAATATTTTTTAAATCTTTATTACGGGCCAAATTCAATTATTTTGATTTTAAACCATATATCAACAATCAACAAAATATCATTAAATTTTTGTCCTAATTTGTATCTGTCAAATTGTATCAATCAAACACCCAGACAATCATACAGATAAAAAGAAGACATATATATATATATATATATATATATATATATACGTATCTAGGACGTAAACCAATTGAAGCTGAGAAGTATTATAATATGCCCCTGGACTCAAGTGATGAGGAACCTGATATTTCTCCCAGGAAACCTGTCAGGTCCCGAACTAATCAAATTCATTGAATGAAATCGGTGACGAAATTTAAGAGGGTATTTCCTGGATCTTTTTGAAGAGTTCTAATGTCAATATTGTTCTTATTTTTAATTCTACAGAGGTTAACGTCCTTAATTCCTATCTAGTTTGGTTCAACCCTCCACACACTAAATTTTTATTATGTTACAGGGGGACCCACAAAGTATGAGCCTTTTATGATTATTTAAAACCCTATTAATATACTTATAACGGACATAATATAATCATTAATCATGAAAAGTTGGTTTTATATGGAACAGTAAAGAAAAAAAACGAAAGGAAAAAGTGTACATCTACAGAACTTAAAATGTGAGGGAAAAGAAAAATTTCGTACAGTTGTTTCTGAATTCTCGTTAACACAGATGAACAATCACATTGTACAACAGGGTTACCCACAACAAATGAGACAGTACAACATAATTTTTCTTGCGTTGCTGGATTTTTTAACTTGATTCCTTATTATTTATAGACTTTATATTAGATAAATGAACAAATCCAACCTTACCCCTTTTAATTTTTCACGAACACTCCCTTGAATTCTAATTTACTGTTTACATAGATCTGTGAATGACCAGAAGTATGAGTGTGGAATGTGTGGACAATATGTAAAAATATTAAATAGTCACATGAAATATGTTCATGGTATAGAGAACACTGGACTCTCAACCAAATACAAGTAAGTTATTTCCCCCCCCCCCCCCTTCAAATTAAACAGCCATAAAGATGTTAGGTTAGAAGAGGGGAGGGGGTGCAGGGTCCACTGCACAATCACATTTAGCAAAAAATTGCCCTTAAAGAAAGCAAATATACTTTTCGCAAAAATGTTCCTTCTTCTGAATAATTAGTTTTAGCTTACAAGTACCATGTACAGTGTGGCCAAAATGTACGGATTTTTTTTTTCAAATTGTACGGATTTTTTTACCTGGAAATACACCTATTTTTAACTCATTTCATTAAATTTTAACTGAAAATTTTCAAAAAAATGTCTCGTAAAAATGAAGTTAGTTTAATTTTTTTTCTGCATTTTAAATAATATTAGGTTGACTGTTGTTTCAACTGACGATGAAAATACATTCATAATTTATTCTAGAAAAGTGATTAGTGTGTTGCCATCTATTGTACTTGACAAACCTATTTGCAGTACATAATTCTCCAATTGCGTTGTACTTTAGGTGTACTATATGCGGTGTCTTGTCTCAAATCTAAATAAACATAATGCATAAACAAACAGTACATGATTCTTCCTTTGTGTTGTATTTTTCAGGTGTACTGAATGCGGTGTACTTGTCACACATCTAAATAAGCATAATGCATAAACAAACAGTACATGATTCTTCCATTGTGTTGTACTTTAGGTGTACTGAATGCGGTGTACTTGTTTCAAATCTAAATAAACATAATTCAAAAACAGACAGTACACGATTTTTCCATTGTGTTGTACTTGAGGTGTACTGAATGCGGTTTACTTTTCACACATCTAAATAAACATAATGCATAAACAAACTACACGATTTTTCCCAATTGTGTTGTACTTGAGGTGTACTGAATGCGGTGTACTTTTCACACATCTAAATAAACATAATGCTTAAACAAACAGTACACGATTTTTCCCTATTGTGTTGTACTTTAGGTGTACTGAATGCTGTGTACTTTTCACACATCTAAATAAGCATAATGCATAAACAAACATTACATGATTCTTCCATTGTGTTGTACTTTAGGTGTACTGAATGCGGTGTACTTGTCACAAATCTAAGTAAACATAAAGAATACAGGCATAATCCTTCGAACAGAGTAGTGGCACCAGATACAGACCTAGAGGTTGTAAGGTCAGTTCACGTTTTTACCACGTGCAACTAGATATTCTAAGCTGATTTAATATTTTAGGTTATTTTGTTAAAAAAAAGGGAAGACACTAGACAACCAATGAACTATTGTTCTTTGGTCTGTCAACGTTACATACACTGTTTAGTGTTTGTTTAGTGTGCCTTATTCTTTCAAGTTCTCTTATTTCATTTCAAATTTGCATTAAACATGCGATAGTGAAAATATCGTTAGTCAATAACAATATGATCGACTATGTAAAAAGCAATAGCTTCAGAAATCGATTATTCCTAAGATTTAAATGAAGGAAATGTTTCTATCTAGATTTAAGTAATTCTGATTTCTAGATGTAAGCAGCCGACACGTAACATGTTCTTTAATAATTCTGATATCTAGATGTAAGCAGCCGACATGTGACCTGTTCTTTTAATAATTCTGATATCTAGATGTAAGCAGCCGACATGCGACATGTTCTTTAATAATTCTGATGAGTTGATAGAACATCAGAAAAGAGAACATTCTGACCAGGTAAGGGTATATTCCTAGAGAACGATTTTTGGACCCCCCCCAGCCCCCCCCCCTCCTATCAATTTTGTACATGGGTCTGACAGGCAGTTTCTTAACTCAACCTAACCTGTGGCCGCAGCGCTCGGCCCCCTAGCCTGTCCTAGCCGCAGCGTTCGGCCCAGAAAGTGTCTTAACTAACCTAACCCGTGGCCGCAGCGCTCGGCCCCCTAGCCCATCCTAGCCGCAGCGCTCGGCCCAGAAAGTGTCTTAAGCTAACCTAACCCTAAATAACAAAAAAAAAATAATAATAAATTTGCTGAAAAATAAATGGTCATGTACAAAATTGATAGGAGGGGGGGGGGCTGGGTTTGGTCCAAAAATCGTTAACTAGGACAGACCCCAGGTAAGAAATATAATAAATGTTTGTTTAGGTTGTGGTATGGGAGGTTAAATAATTATGTTCAGGATAAACTAGCGTGTGGTATGGGAGGATAAATGTTCATGTTTAGATTAGACTAGCGTGTGGTATGTGAGAATGAATGTTTATTTTAGGATGAACTAGTGTGTAGTATGGGAGGATAAATATTTATGTTTAGTTAAGACAAGCTTGTGGTATTGGAGGATAAATTTTTATGTTTAGGTTGACAAGTGTGTGGTATGGAAGAATAAATGTCCATGTTCATGTTAGACTAACGTGTGGTATGGGAGGATAAATGTCTGTTAGGTTAGACTAGCGTGTGGTATGCGAGGATTAATGTTTATGTTTAGGCTAATCTAGCGTGCGGCATGGGAGGATAAATTTTTATGTTAAGGTTAGACTAGCGTGTGGTATGGGTGGGTAAATGTTTTATGTTCAGGTTAGACTAGCTTGTGGTATGGGAGAATAAATGTCTATGTTTAGGTTAGACTAGTGTGTGTTATGGGAGAATAAATGCCTGTATTTAGGTTAGACTAGCGTGTGATATGGGAGGATCAATGTTTATGTTTAGGTTAGACTAGCGTGTGGTATGGGAGGATGTAACTCTGTATTTGATAGCAGAGGAGCCCTCAGAAAACACAGGTAATTTACTTCATTATGATGAGATGGATGTAAAGTTTGTTCCTAAGGCTTAAAGTCTGGTTTAATTTGATAAAGTGAGAAAAAAAATAGCATAAAGAATTTACCCCCCCCCTCCCAAAATCATTTTTCTCTGAATTTTGGAAGCTTATTTTAAAGCAGTTTAGAGGCGCACCAGGGGGGGGGGTTGCATCTTAATTTTTAAAGTCTACTTCCCGTTTTACTTCATTCTGATATCGATATGATCTTATGATATTATCTGATTAAAGGAATTCTGAACATCCCGAGTTGTTAGTTTATGAATGGTAAAGAGATAGTTGAACTAGGTTCAACATGTTTAACTACTGGTTTACCACGTTGCTGCTGCAATATCATTGGTTGAAAATTAACTTGCTAGATTTTTTGACCGACTAAATTGGCTATTGAGGTATTGCATGATTTATTTTTCAAATGGTTGGCCTCAGTTCATACAATTCATACATTCAGACAATTTTAACTTTTTAACTTTTATAATGCTAGCTTCCATTATTCCATCTGATGTGACACCTGTTGTAGATCTGAGGCCCATCCTGAGCTCGAAGAGTTTAAACCTGTAGACTTGGAACCAGACGACCCAGACAGAGACGTAGACCTCACGGTAACCATTTATTTTATTCATTCATTTCTGCATTGATCATTGACGAATCAATTGTATTTTTTTATACAAAGAAAATAAAAAATACGTTGCTTGTTAAGTTGTTTCTTTGGCTGATTTGATTGAGTTTCCATTTTTTACTTAACTAATTGTTATAATTCAATATGTGAATAAATAATTGATTGATAAAATGATGGACTGATTATTTGATTGTCAAATTGATTTACTGGTCGGCTTATTGATTGGTTCTCTAGGTTGCCTGTCCTGTCTGTGAACGGAAGTTTAAACACAAAAATACATGTACTGTACATATAAAGGTAATTTAATACATGTAATGTACAGTGTAAATCAGGGTGACCCAAATCACCCTGAAAAATGATAGCACACAGGCTCAAGTGCTTCCATACACATTTAAATGTTTCTAAAAGAAATTTCCGATGTCTTGAAAGCAAATAACAGCCGTACATGTAGAATTGAAACATTGCTGAATGTTCTGTTTATTAAATATCTATTGTTAAACTGTACACGTGTACTCGCCAAGAACAAGTTATCAAATTAGACCTCTTGTTATTGAACTGCTACATGAGAAACAAAAATGGTACAAAATGGCGTAAAATCCATATATGTAGGAATAATGAAAATATTTATTTACTATCTACCTGATTGATCCCCTAGCTCAGATCTATTTTCCTGAAAGACCCCCCTTGCTTTTAACTATTTACCTAATTGACCCCTAGCTATGAACTGTCTACCTGATTGACCTTCTAGCATTTAAATATCTACCTGGTCGACCACTTAGCCATTAACTGTTACCATAAAGACCTCCAAGCTCTGAACAACCTTGTATTATGTATACCTTCTTATTAGTAGGTAAAAAGTTCAGAAGAGGAGATGTTACATATAGATGCTGTAACATTACCATTTATCTATATTTTTAATTCTCTCATTATTTAGGTCCACCATCTGGGTTGGTCTAAAAGAAAGATGTTTGAGTGTCCAGATTGTATGAAAGGATTTGAAAATAAAAAGAATCTAGATCTTCACAGGAATATTTAAACCTTCAGATCAAAACAATTAAAACAATGATAATATTTTTTTATTTCGGTGATGACTAACTTTATCTTGCAGAAAGCTTTCAAACCAGATTTAAATACTATCTGTTATTCTAGTGTTGTTAATAGTTTGGGGCTGAAACCCAAAGGAGATACGCGCATGCCGCGTTGAATTATAAGACAGAGAGAGAGCCGGATGCTCTTATTTCTAGACGCGGTTCAAACATGAGCCGCGGTTCAAACATGGTTGCTCTAGCTGAAAATTTTAATAAGTGTCTCGAAATTTGAGCCAGCGCTCAATTGAAACCGGTTTTTTGCGGTTCAGCGACGGGGTTTAAATTCTATTTTGGCCTCTGGGTGATTAAACTATTGGACAACATCACCCTTAGTTTTCTCAAATCTGGTCTGAAGGTTTATATTTGTTCAGAGAAGCGATTCATCTTGGAATTCGAACTATTTGTCCTCTATGTGATAAACCAGTCACAAGATTAGGTAATTTATTCTACCAGGCTTTCAGGGGCGCGAATATAGCAACAAGTTTAGCTGTTCAGCGTTGCTTATCAAGCTGCTATTTTTCTTTTTAAATTAACGCATTTAAAAATATGATAAATTTCGACATTTTTTCTGGGCCATTTTTATTATGTTTTCAAAGGGTCATGGGATTTGTTAAAACAATTCGTTTATTGGATACAAACAAACATACAGACAAGCAAAGTATTTATATACATCTAGTATTCTTTTCTTGAAAACTCTACCCATATATGATGTAAGCATTTTTTGCTTTTTGATTTTGTAACAAAAAGTTTGAAATTTCAAACTTTGTCTTATTGAATTATTGTAACAAAAAGTTTGAATTAAAAAATTTACTGTTTTTTTCTTGTTTCATTACATTTAAAAAAAAAAGTTTCATAATTATTATGAATTTTTCAATGGTTTTAAAAGTTTAATTGGTTTAATCCTGATAAGAAATAACCTTACATGAATTCGATGGTGTTGATTTTGGAAAATATGTATTATTCTTTTATAACTAATGTCAAACAAAGTTGTATGGGTCTCATTGTAAATATAATATACTAGCTGAAGTGCCCGGTTAACAGTAACTATTTTTGAGTTTTATTATATAGATATATATATATTATACTCGCTTGGGAACACAACGCTGCCAGGTTACTAAAAGTTACTCCCGTTGTTTACCCGCACTTGAACGATTTTACCGGGAAACTGAATTAAAGTCACCCACTTAACTTAGAATCTCAAAACCAAGCTAAGAACATTTCGGTGGGCCTCCTGAGTTCCCCAACCAAAATTTGTGTCAAATCGGTCCAGGGGCTCCTGAGTTATGATAGGACAAACAAACAGACAGAAAAACAAGATTATGACTATATATATAGATACAATACAGTATATATATATATTATATACAGTGATACCCATAACATACTGGAATCGGTAAATTGTTTTACTCAAGCATGATTTACAGTCCGATGAAAATCAAACACATCTATTGTACAATATACATATACCTATTTCACTTAATTAGTTGATTTTCAATTTACTGGTAAAGCTATTTGCGTTTTAACAACTAAATCAACTTAAAATAAGATTGCTTGTGTCGTGGACAAATTTTATCCTTTTCTAACTTATAAAACCATGTTTAGACCTGCATGTTCGCATGGTTCACACTGAGCTGCCTGAATGGCCTTGTCCGGACTGTAGAAAGAAGTTTAAGCGCAAGTTTGATCTCAACCGACATCGTGTCACCGTCCATCTTGGAGTGCGCAACTTTCCCTGCGATTTATGCGGGAAACGGTTTGCGGACATGAAGGATATGACGCGGCATAAAAACGCAGTTCACTACGGGATGAAGATCAAATGGAACTCGAAGAAGCACAAGGAGGAGAGGAAGAAGAAGAGGGAGCTGATGGTAAAAAAGTATAAGATGGGGGGAGGGATTCAACGGGATCAACAGGAGAGATTGAAGAATGTAAACTTTCCAGTCGAGTTTATAGATACAGGTGACATTTTTATTCATTTTTAGTTTTGACAAACATTTATTTTTATGAAATTCATACTTTTCTCTGTTATTTTTTTATTTGTTGGGGTTTAATCATTGTAATGCTTTTATACACCGATCCAATCCTCAACTAACTTGATTAAAGTATGACGTAGGACAAACTAAAAGCTTTACCTTTTCAACCTTTCTAATATTTTAAAAACAAAAAGAACGAATTTAAATACAAATGTTTTATTTGTTCTTCAGGAGCAGGAGGGCGTATTTCAGAAGAGGACGCGTCTATAGATGCCTCATCAGTCATACTTGATCCGGTACATAGTAGATACAGTACACTGTACACTTGTACATATCACAGCACTCTTATACACAGAATATGTATATTATATCCGGTGTATAGTAGATATAGTACACAGTACACTGTAGTACTTGTACGGTACTACACAGCACGCTTTTACGTAGCATATGTATACTTGAATCGGTACAAAGTGGATACATTACTCGTGTACAGTGTACAGTGTACAGTGTACACTGTACACTATTACACAGAATATGTATGGATATTTTTCCGTTACATAATTGATTTCAATTATCCAGTACTTAGTTTTAACAGTCTACAATACACATCAGTCCAATGGTTCCATGCTCTGAATCGTATTTACAGTTTACATATTTGCTTCATTTTAAATTTTGGAATATAAGATCTCATCAAAATGATTAAATTTTATTGTTACATATTTAGGTTCTTCAGTCCCAGCTAGGAACTGTTCAGTTAATCCAAGCAGATACGGACAACTCAGGCAGCCTTAGGTATTTTTAAGAGTGTAGGGAACTAGACGCAGGTTAGGGAACTAGGCACAGGTTAGGGAACTAGGGACAGGGTAGGGAACTAGGGACATGGTAGGGAACTAGGGACAGGGTAGGGAACTAGGGACATGGTAGGGAACTAGGGACAGGGTAGGGAACTAGGGACATGGTAGGGAACTAGGGACAGGGTAGGGAACTAGGGACATGGTAGGGAACTAGGNCTTGAACTCAAACTTTCTTATATTTTTATTTATGCATGTCGATGTCGTAGAGCTTTCATATTTAATTTTTGAATTGTGCTGGATCAACTAATCACAGGCTGCAAAGATATTAGGAAAAGAAAACCAGATTTAAAAGCAAGTGATCAGTTCCGTCATCTTATTGTTTTTCAGGTTTGTAGTGCTCCAAGAGGAGATGGATGACAACGGTATAGAGATAGAAGAAGAGGAAGAAGAGGAGGAGGAGGGGGAAGAAACTCATCATATCATTCTTGAACCTGAAGATTAGAAAACTAATTAAACCTGAAAATTAGAATCTAATCGAATCTAAAGATTAGATAAAACAAGCGAACTTGAAAATTAGAAAAATTATGCCATTTTCACTCAGGCCACTGAAAACCCAACTTAAATCTTAAGTGTACTGTGGGGCATTTCGGTGATGCTCCGACTACATCCGATGTCGTAGTTAGTGTTATTTGTCTAAAAAGAAGACTGATTGTTTTTTAAAAAGATATTTTTTTTTGTTGTTTCACAATTAAGTTCGTTTTTAAAAAAAAGTCTCCAATTACATCCGATGTCTCAGTAATTGTTTTTGATCCAAAAAGATTGTCCATATTTTAAAAATCTTATCTCACAATACAGATTTTATTTTTAAAATGACAAATTCTATTAAAGTCCTCGAGGGTATTGTAATATATTAAAAATATTGTTTATAGAAAAAACTATTAGTATTGTGCGCAATTCAAAATTATAAAAAAAAAATTTTGAAAAAGTGATTATTTTAATATTTGTCCTATTTTCCTTTTGTATTGTTCTTGTTGGCATTTTACATTTATTTCAGTTTTAAAAACAGATGAAAATCAATAATATATTAAGTTCTTATGTAAATACTTCTTTTCGAATCGGAATACATATTTTTCAATTTTTGAGGATTGATCTGAGGTGGTACAAATATTCTTTTACAGTGTTTGAAGTTTGAACTATTTGTTCTTTAGTTAATCGTTATTTAAGGAAACAGACAGAGTTCTGTACATTCTTCTCTGAAGACCAGAATAAAAGAATTTCCTCATGCCAAGGTTCTCATCCTTTGTGGGTAACCCTGTATATAAGATTAACAATATAAGCTACACAACAAACGATCACTTTTTGTCCTCTAAACAACACAAATGAATTGACTCGTGTGAGATTTGAAGACTGCCTGATATCTGGAGCATGTAAAGTCCAGAATTATTTACAACCTCGACATCGGCACATAAAGTTGGTAAACATGTTTCCTGGGCTATGAGTCTATCAGAACCCGATTCATGTTTCATCTTGGAGAATGGAACACTTAAAAAAGATAATTTCGAAGGACAAGGATTTCGAGGTGGCTCAGACGAGAAAGAGGGGAATGTGGCTCGGACAAGAAATTGTTAAGGCTGGCATTCCTCCCCTCCACAAGCCTTTTTCCTGCCATTTCCAAACTGTCATTTGTCTTTTTTAGCATTTAAAATTGCCATATATACATATATATATATATAATGTAAAGTTCTGATTAACTGTCAATTAATTCCGGGTCTCGTGATTATGAAAGCGGTATGAGCAGTTCGAGCACAATAGCATATGTGCGTATAGGATGGGCACGTTGAAAACAACATATACGTTCTTCCGACCTACTTCAAGCGGTCGCTTGGACTCCTTGGACACGTTAGTAGGTCTAATGGGCCTTTTTCGTAGGTCGGATGGGTATTTTTCAACCGAACTACGAAAACTGCCCACCCAACCTACAAAAAGTACCCATCCGATCTACAGTGAAACCCTTAATAACGAATACATACAGAGCGTCCCATATCATATTAGATTATCTTCAATCTTTAACACCAAAATAAATCCTTAATACTCGAAAAACTTATCGTTTTTTGCAAGAAAATTCTTATATAAGCCTTATTTTATTTTTCAAACTGATTCATTCTAATTAAATTTTCTGATTAGTCCCGAAAATCGTAATTTAGACTATGAAAATCAATAATATATTTAGCTCTTATGTAAATACTTCTTTTCGAATCGGAATACATATTTTTCAATTTTTGAGGATTGATCTGCCCACCCAACCTACAAAAAGTACCCATCCGATCTACAGTGAAACCCTTAATAACGAATACATAGAAAGAATTCATCAAATGTCGTATTCTTCACTTTCTGATAATGGAATGTTGCAGATTTAGTTTTTTAATTAAATGATTATATGGAACTCTTTAAAACTGTTCCCGCATATTCATGGCTATTTATTTATTTTCGTAAATACTGAAATTTACGTAATATGGTATAAAACTCATTGAAAAATTGTCAAGACGACATTTGATAAATTCTTCCGATGTACTCGTTATTAAGGGTTTCACTGTACGAAAAATGCCCATCCGACCTACAAAAAGTGCCCATCTGACCTACAAAATTGAGTGGCCGTCCGACAGCTACAATTAATTATTTCTATAACCATAGATCGAAAGATACACCATCGACAATTGGAATCTTGTAGAACTTTTAATATAATTATAATATGTACTGGATCACTTTTAAGTGCAGGGCAGATCTAGGATTTGAATAATTCCTTTTTTTTTATAAATTTTTCCTTCCTTCATGAAAGTATTTTTAAAGTAGATTCTTTTTCTTAGTTTTATTTCAAGGTAGATTCTCCCACTGATAAAGCCGAATTTGAATGCCGCAACACACGTTTATTTCTATATAAATCCAGAAATTTCGCAGGCGTTTAAAATGTATTTGGAAATTAATGCAAATAACTTCTTTTACATTGATTTTAAGGAACTAAATCAGTTCTAGGAGAACTTTACTCCATTATAATGAATTTTATTCCGTGCAATTTTTTTGCCTCTTTGATAAGTCTTAACTAAAGTAAATTAGTTAAAAGAATTTTCTGGAAAATTTATACGTACATAGCATTTATGTTTTATGTATAATGTATACAGTTACTTCTGTGCCTGCAGTTTCCGGCCCCCTCACCTGTTGTGGCCACGGTGCTTGGCACCTTACCCTGCTGGCTCTGTACTTTGCAAATTTCGTAATCTCCAGCCTCTCCTGCTATCAATTTTGTTTATGGAGCTGATATGGGGTCTGTCCTAGTGAACGATTTTTGGACCCCCCCAAAGCCCCCCCTCCTACCAATTTTGTACATGACCAAATTAGCATTTATTTAGTATTATTTAGGGTTAGGTTAGGTTAAGACACTTTCTGGGCAGAGCGCTGCGGCTAGGACAGGCTAGGGGGCCGAGCGCTGCGGCCAC